AATAACGGTATTACAAAAAATATACGATACACCTAAGGATATTGTCTGAAGAATGAGCTAATTTGTAATACATGATGGTATGTTCTTCACCCGTTGATATAAAATCCTAAAGAACAGGCTAAAATAAATATCCAAGGGGGTACGTAATCCAACCGTTACGATATCGTAGCGATTTAGTCGTTAAAGTGCTCGTATTCACGTGTGACAGCGAACGTCAACGAGTACAATTTTAAAGTCGTTCGATACAAATGTCGTTAAAGCGTATTCTGGTATATGAATCTAACTTAAATCGACTCTAAACGACAAGTCATACGTATTCTGCTAGAATTTTGACAGTTCTTTCAAAAGACTTTCGACGACTAAATGTCAAATTTGACAATCCAAGATGTCGTTCGTTAGTCGTTACGGTTCGATTCTACTCATATCAAGGTTCGTTCAAGTGAACTTACGTGAATAGCAATATTTGGTTTTCAATTAAAAAAAGGAACATATGAAGTAAATACGGTACTCGGTTTTAGAACCCTCAATATAATAATAACGACACACTCAACATAGCACTAGGGAAACACTGTGTCGCGGTTGCTATGGACACACACATAGACAATCAAAAATTACATCCAAACTCACGAGAGAAATAAATGTAAGCCATGCAAATATTTTTCCCGAACCTGGGACCTCTGTGTGGCACCCCGGCATGGTAACCGTTCAGCCACTGAGGCAGGCAAATGCTAATACTATACTTAACAATTATAGGAAATAATTTATGATAAAGCTGACTCCACGCATTTATTATAACCTGTTGCATGCGCCAATGGACACCCCGCACCAATACCGCCCTTAATTAGAACTGCGGACACGGTGCATGACCGCAGCGGTAAGTGGAGAACTTGCCCGCTCCCAAGACTGTTCCGTCACGAAGTGTTAAAATAGTAAAGCAGTGGGACGGTCAAGAAACCTATGCTTTTTTTGGCACTAACTAGCTTTAAACTGTACCTGTGCCCCTGGTGGCGTTTGAATCGCTTCACTACAGTGTGTCTGCAGTTTAAAACATGAAAGTAATTAGAATAAATAAAATAAAATACTAAAAAAACTGAAACTAGAAAAACCCGGCCATTTTTTGTTTCGTATACCACATCTCGAAAGCTTCTCATCTTTCCTTATCTCTTTGTGTCAATGTCCAAATTGTACACTCTAATTAGATGTTTCCTCTTCTTGCATGACAAGACGCGTGATTTTAACAGTTGTTTTTTATGGTTCAAAGCTGTTTGCCATAGCAATTCGTGCAACTATACAGGTGTACACCTGGAGTCTTTGGTAATTAGCTGCCCAAATATCTGAAGCTATCTACCCGTTCAATTGGTGTATCTTTGAATACTATTGGCGAATGTTTTTAGTGGCGTTTTGATGTTGTAAGTGATTTTGTCTTCTTTACGTTTATCTTTAGTCCGCACTCCTTAGTGCTGGGTTTCTGGGAACGCTTCGCGCATATGCAAAGATTCTTTGCGTTGCGTGAGTTTGATAACTAGCAAGCTTGATATTTCCACACAAGCTACAGGGAGCGTTTGTGGAGGACAGCACCACTGGCCAATCACAGAGCAGCAGCGTCCACGCGTCCACTACAACCAACTCCCAACGCAAAGCGGAAGACTCATGGACCCGGCATCAATGTGGAATCCATTGCCAACACCTATTCCTCTAACTCTGACGCATATCAACGTAGTTATAAATTACCAAAGTCTCTACCCGCCCCGCTCAAGACCATGCTCGCGGCCGAATCAATCCATCCGTATCACAGGATTAAACCCATGTTTGTGGCTCAGTTTGAACATAGTTACCCTTCCATGAAGTTCAAGTCAATATAAATAAATAAATAAAAAACATTAGTGTTTATAACGTGTTAGGAAGTTAGTTTAACTGGTGATGCATTGGTGTAGGAGGAATCTACGGAATATTGGATAGAAAAGAAGATTTTTTCGAAAGGAAAATTACATCAGGTAAGGTGGTGGCGCCAGTGACCGACAATCGTTCACACGACACGACAAATCGTTTTTTTAAATTAATTTCTAATAAGATTTAGGACAATATTTTCTATCATAGTAAAATGTTTCTTATTGGCAAGTGTCAATTACTGGTTAGTTAATTATAAGAGATTTTGAGAAATTCTAGTTTAAGTTTTTGTTTTTTTATTCAAATGTATAAGTGTGCATTTGACCTCCATCTCACCTGATGGAAAGTGACGATGAGGTCGACGATGGAGCATGCACCTAAATAATGCCTATTCAAGGAACTAACGTTCAGGGAACAAGTCTGCAGACAGGGAATTACACTCCATAGCCGTTCGCCATATAAATGTTTGTTGTAAGTTTTAGGTGTTTTAGTAATACTTATAATAGCTTTTTTATGAACATACTGCAGCATAATCTTTCTTGAGAATGAGAATATATCTGTCAAGTAGGCGATCCGTAGAAGAACGAAAGTCTCCGACATTGCTCATAGGATTAGCAAGTTGAAATGGCAGTGGGCAGGGCACATAGCTCGTGGATCTGATGGCCGTTGGGGCAGGAAGGGTTACCTATAAACCTCAAATTTTTATAACTTCGAAAGTAATTTTGAGAGGAAAATGTTTTTTTCTTTTAAACCTCACTTAGGGTCGTATTCCAGAACTCTACTCAATGCTCAAGTCAGGATTGCAATTAAAACACAAGCACTGGAAATACGACCCTAATGGCAGGGACTTGAGTATGATTTCGAATGCTTTAAACCATACTCAAATCCTGACTTGAGCATTGAGTAGAGTTCTAGAATACGAGCCTGAATATAACCTAACCGAACCTAATCGTGTCTTTCCGATAAACATGCAACATATCCTGAAAGAACAACGGTTTCGTTACAATTCGGTTTTCGGTGTAATGAAAATTCGAACAAACGTTGTTTATTTATTTAAAGATACACCATCAACTTAACACAAAACAATATTAAAAAAATAATACACACAGGTTCACTATACAAGGTGCCAAGTCACTACAGGTGTATACATCACTAAAAATCTAATGTTAACCAATGAGATACTAAAGAAAATATATAATTAGAAATATAAAATTACAGTAATAATTAGTTATCTATAATAGATATTTACAAGTTTCATAAGTTCAAACAAATTGCTTGCACATACGAAGAAACTGCTTAGCATTTTTTATATTAAAGATATCTATGTCGCCGTCTCCAGTCGTAAGTAAGTCATTGTATGACTGCATGTGTCTGTTCAAGGGGGCATACTTTCCAAGATTAGTCCTGCCACTAGACAAAACAAATGTTCTGACTATGGGGTACCTAGGCACTTTACGAGGAACATTAAAATTAGTGAGGGCAAGAGCCTGTTGTTGTTTCGGAAAAAAAAATTCGACCTTTGTGATAGGCTACTGGCAGAAAGGTTTTCGAATAGAAACCACGAACCGGTCGACCCCCTACTAGATGGACGGATGACCTGGTAAGGGCGGCGGTAACCGATAGACGCACGTCGCGTCCGATCGGCTGGTCTGGAAATCTTTGGGGACGGCCTATGTTCAACAGTGGACGTCTTTCGACGGATACAATGTTGATGAAACTAATCTTAGAGTTTAACATCCTTACACTAACGTCGCTGTATATTTATGAAAATGTTATTTAGGATAAGAAAAATATAATTTTTTTTATGAAAAATCGTGAGAAATAAAACGTATTATTTTTTTTTTTATATATTTTTTTTATATATATATAATAGACACACGCTTGGCCACAATCTCACCTGATGTTAAGCGACGATGTGACCGACGATGGGACGCGTTTGCCTAAAAAATGCCTATTCACTCTAGCCTTGAATAGCCCCAAATTATACTTTTCGGGAAATACAGATGCCGGTAGAGCATTCCATTCCTTTGCCGTACGCATCAGAAAGGAGGAGGCAAAGCGCTTAGTGCGAATAGGTGGGATATCAACGACATAAGAATGGAGTGCTCCGGACCTTCTAGTCGACCGAAGGAGGAACGGTGAGGGCGGAACCAAATTGAAAAGTTCCTGCGCACACTCCCCGAAATGTATCCGATAGAAAACCGACAAGCAGGCTACTTTTCTGCGATGATCGAGATTTTGGAGCTTCGACTCCACAAGAGGATTATTGTTAATAAGTCTCTTTGCTTTACGCTCCACCGAGTCCAAGGCAGCTAACTGGTATTGGGCAGAGCCGTCCCAAAGGTGGCAGCAGTACTCCATACAGGATCGAACTTTTTTTTAGATTTAAGCCTAGAACAATAAATACAGTAGAAGTGGTTAGTTAGCGTCAGACGCGTGCCAACGCGCTTCGTATTTTTCGCTTTGTAAAATCGTAGAAAACTGCCATACTGTGCTGTTTCAGAGTGGAAAAATTATAGCCGTATCAAAAATTCGTTCGTCGTAGTCCAGTTACTGACCACAAGATGGCAGCACGTTGAATAAAATTTCAATATAAAATCAAAATGTCGAACTTGCAATAAAGGTATTGAATTTTCAACGCTATAGCGACTGGGTAAAATTTAAATTATATTAACAATCCAGAATTTGTTACATCTTTTTAAATTAGAAACTATAACCAATCATTATCAAGATTCCGTAGTTTATCTATTCTATTATTATCATTTGTTTTGTTTTATAATATCAAGTGACGGGACGAACAAGTCGTGAGCCTGATGGTAAGCGACACACCTGTCCATAACAGTTGCAGTGCCACTCAGAGATTTAAATTGCCAAGATCTGAGGGGCACCACCCTAAGACATAATTTGACAAGTCCCATGTACCTGTAATTTCAAAAGCACCCTTACAATTCACAACTGGATGTTGGCATTACTGTTTGGCGGCAGAAATCGGTAAGGTGGCAGTACTTCCCTGGTCGAACTTCACAATGAGGTCTGCTGCTACTAAAAAGTGACGCCATTGATTGAATAATGTTTTTCTTTCTTTCTTAATTGAATATATCGCTTCCAGAAAGATGCAACGCGGCGACCGCTACCCAGAAGATTACGAACCCGAGCGCCGTTCTCGACCAGGTTCTCGCCGCAACAGCTCATCTCTTTCCCGCAAAAACAGTATCACGAAAGAGAATGAGAGAAGGAAGACATCTCCAACTGAAAGTGTCTCCCGAAGAAGCAGTGTGAACGAACCACCAATACGATCTCGTAGAAGTAGTGCGTCTAATGAACCTTCGCGTGTTAAATGCATGTAAGAATTAAGTATCATTATCATTTTGATTTCACCTCGACATTTCTTCTAACCGTGCGAGTTTTTCTAACTACACGCTCTTGGTCTACATTATTTATTCAAAGAAAGAAAGAAAATACATTTATTTGTTTACCACATTGATATCACAACAGAAAAAAACGAAAGAAAACGTAAAACGTAATCAAATCATCAATAATAATATAAAATTAAGACTTGAATGCTCTTACAGGAATAGCGTGTCGAAAGAAAGGGAAGCAAAGAAGAAGTCGACTCTTAACACTGCTCCATGTTCGAGTAATTCCACACCTAAGAAAGTCACTAAGCAACTGGAATTTATTGTCACGGGAAAACAACTTTTAAAAAGGTAAAATACAACACACTTTTATTCCATATCAACCATATTGGGCGCCGCTACAAATTTTCTTACAATTGTGAACCCTTGGTGTAGGTGATAAGGCCACATCTGCAAATCGATAACTTTCCAGGAGAAACGTTTACAGATTCTTCGGACGAATTAGTTAATAACTTAGAAGAGTTATAAAATTTCACATATACACATTGACTTACAATTATGTCGGGTCTGCGCTAAAAAGTGTCCGAACTTATAGGGCGTTAAAATCGTATACAGAGCGTCATTCACGCTCTAGTCTTCGTTTGTTCGACTGACAGCGAAGCAAGCAAAATTAGACAGTACTGCGATGACATTACAATTTAAATTCAACGTTTTAGCTTTTTCATATTCCTTTACATGTCACTACTTTTAAATAGGTTGACTTGGGACATTTTTTTCGTGGTTTTTGTATTAGTCCCGTCGTCCATTTATTTGTAAGTCAATGCATATACGTATGTAAAAATGAGAATCCACTTCTTGCACTATTCGTTTACGTAAAGGTAAGTATGAAGCTGCATCCAGGGGCGTAGTGTTGGGGAGTCCCACCGATCAGCGAACATCCTCAAGATTCGGTTGGTGCTGGCGAGGAGACGGGTGAGCGCGGAGGCGCACCGTTTCCTCATTATAGCATAAAAGTCATCCGTCCAGCAGAAACCTGAGGGCGTTATTATACTTAACACGTACGTCACTATAAGTCCGCTGCGTATACCTGTCCCACAGGTTGCATGTACAATATGCAGTAAGCTTTCAAGCTTTTTTTCTTTCCTTAACGTCGTGCGAACCTGTGGACCAACATGTTGCTACGTACAGTCTGCGACCTACGTTCCCTCTCAATATCACACCTTCACACATTGACTTACAATTATATGGACGTCGGGTCCGCGCTAAAAAGTGTCCGAACTTATAGGGCGTTAAAATCGTATACAGAGCGTCATTCACGCT